GTTTTACAGTAAGTGGGTAGCTTGTGGATTTACTCCAGGTGGAACTAAAGTCTGATTTAACACTTGGTTATATTTCACATCATTCATCCACATCTGTGAAGTAACTGAAAGGTATTAAATACATCTAGTGGAGCAAAAGTACACCATTTACCTCTGACTTATGTTTACTGCCAACCTAAAAGTACCTCAAAAATAGTATCAATAATGTATTGAAAAGTTATTTGGCTGATTGTTTTATATTGGCTCAGCCAGGTTATATGGGATGCCCAGTCTACGTACAGATCACTAATTTAGAAATATTAAACTTAGTTTTCTTTTCTTTAATTTTTCCTCCTCGTGTAGAAGGCTATCACGAAACACACATTTGGTTGTTTATAGCATAAAGAACATCTGATTTAATGTGAGGTAGGGAAATAATCATTTGAGCATGTGTATATAAATATGTAATTTACAGCAGCTGTAAGATGCTTGAAAAGCTGGAAAATGGACCTTGAAAATGCTTGAATTTGACTTTGGAAAAGGTGTAAGAACCCTGAATTAGAATTTTAAAAAGTCAAGGCATTCACACTGAGTTTTACTCACCTGGCAGCACAGACACAGGCACAGCCACAGTTTCACAGATGAAGGGCTTATTGACAATGAGTTTAGATTTGGAGGCGAAATTGAGTGCACCAAAAGTATCAAAGTAGAATTTGTACTCCGGTGCAATGTTGGTGATCATGACAGAGTGCGCCGAGCCGCCCAGAGAGTCCTGCAGCAGCCGAGTCAGTTTACTGTCTCTGTAGGGCACACGGACGGCAGTGCTGGAGTTAAGAGAGTCCACCACCTTGCTGAGCGTGAAGAGGGAGAGGTTGATGGCCCCGCTCTCCTTCAAGCGGATTCCCTGGTTGCCGGTGCGCCGGTTGTCCTCAGACCCAGCCAAGTCTATCAGGTACAGCTTCCCTGTCTGTTGTCTGTGAGGCGGCGCATGCTGAGTTCGCACAACCTAAATAATTGTAAAGACCAAGATTAGAAGGGGTAAAGACACAGAGGTCAGACAGGATAACTACAGGGGAGCAGAGGGAAGTCCATGAGGTGAAGATGGGCTTTTTGGATAAATGTGACCCATTGGCCGAGTCAAATAGTCTTGTTGTCCAAGGAAGGTTGCTAACAGAGTTAATTAATGTGGACTATGGAATCAGTTTCAGCAATTATGAGCTGGTTTAATTTTCCAATTGCTGAGGAAAGGTGCTTGATGCTTACTTTCCTCTCCTCCCCCCCCCACATCTAATTTAGCAGGGTTTAGACTCGGACATCCTTTAAAAGAAAACAAATATTGTAGTCCCTCAATTCCACGAATTAGCAACATGCAAACGACACACACCAATTACACCCGCCATCAGACAATTATATGGGCTTATTTAAGTGTTATCGGATGCTCTTAAAACCACAATTTTTAAGGAAAAGTATGTGAGAAAGCACCTATTGAGGTCAAGGAAAAGTACTAAGGAAAAATATGTAATCAGAGCATCATGCATTCAGCTTTGCATCTCAACAAGGTTGCTGAATCAACAGCACAAACCGGTTTGTTTCTTGATTTTAGCGACAGATAAACAACTCCTGATTTACTGCTCAAAGCCCACAACATGTTTAATATTAATGATCCACTGGATTCTTATTCGCAGGTCAGTTCAACAAAGAAAACAGCAACTCGTCAAGAGAATTATAAATGATCAGAGTTGATCAGATGACAAATCAAACCTTGAGGAGGAGGACAGCATGGCTGCGGCTGGAGCGCTGGTTTATTTTGGTAGAAGCCGTTGTGCGATTAAGGCTGGCAGGTACAAAGTGTTTGTGAAAGTCTGAGAAGGAGGTGATGGTTGTGTGAGTGAGGCCAGGGATAAGGATGTTTTTGTCCTTGTCCTCTCTGATGGGTAAATCCTGGGAGCCTGGCGATAGAAGATCTAGCACCTGAGAAGATTGATAGATTGTTCAGTGTAAACTTTAAAAAAGCACTTTACTAAACAACCACAACAAAAAAAATAGGAGAAGAGAGTTATAAGCGTTTTAAAAAAGGTGACACTTTACTTCCAAAAATTCATACCTTCTCATTGTAAATTTCCAAATAAGACATGCTAATGCTGTAGTCCCAGCCTTCATCCTCATTCTTGGCGTTCACCATTTTAAAGACCTCACGAACGGCTCGAGGGATTACGCCCAGCTGATTCAAAGTGCCCATCATAGTGTGAGTCTTGCCTATGAAAGAGGAAGAAAGGAGGAAGCACACAAAACATTATTTTTGAAGAAATGTATGTACAAAAAGTAGCGACTGTTAAGAACATATTGTCTCCAAAAAACATTATAAATCAAAGCCGTTTGGCTGGTAATTTAATAATATTTAGTTTGAGCTCACCCATTCCCAACTATAACCCTACAGTTAATGATATCACATACTTTATATCATTATCAATGGGACACTGGCTGTAATTCTTTTGTATGCAGCCAAGTTAACAAAAGCAACAGTTAACAAGTGCATTAATGTGTTAACATACCAGCTCCTGTTGGTCCATAGGCGAAGACACTGGCATTTTGTCCGGTCAGTATGTGTGGTAGAATGGGTTTCACTGAGAGGAAAACTTCTTGCTGTGTCGTTTGCTCACCATGAAAAACGTCAAAACTGTTGGACATTATTTAAAAACATTAACAAGACAATCTATAGAAAAACAAAACATTAAAAAGAGCCAAGATGCTGAGTACACTGACCTGTATTTGACTGTTTCTGTAGCATTTCTCCAGTTGATTATTTCCAGGTTCTTTGAGTCCAGGCCTCTCACACACGATCCCTCGTTTTTCTCATCTTGTGTGCCCATGTAGGGTCGAAGACGAACCGCTACCCGAACCCTGGAAACCTTCTTGTTTGCTCCATCTGATACTGCCACACGCTGCGCCATGTCTGAACTGCTCAAAGATAAAAAGGCCCAACATTAGACAATAACATTTTAGCACCTGTGTAAAAGGACAGTATGCTAAGGCGAATTGTTTCGAAATCTTCTTACAGGTAGGTTTAAAGTGTATCGGATTTGACCTTAAATAAAGCAATATCAAGCGTTTTACCATAGTAATGATAGCTTCAATCTGCTAATAACAAGCTAACATTAGCTAGCATCACATCACAGTCAACACAAAGGTTACTTGCCTAGATAACGTTACGGTTAGTCGCTACTTTAACTACTGTTTTACTCATGTTTCGTTAAGCTCACCGATTTGATATGTGGAATCCTTGTTCTAAAAGCGTGTTAATCAAAAAGTATCACTATAAGAAACATTGCGGAAAACGTTTTTTAACAATGGCGAACCAGACCCCAAAATATCTAACCGAAGCCTTTTTAAATCAGGAGCGCTGCAACAGGAAACGACCGTCAACCAATCAGAACTCGACCAAAGACTGGCGCCTATTTAACGCCGAGTGACCTTATTTATGAGATGTAATCGTGCATCGAATGTATTATTCATCGGGATGATATATAAACACACATATATAGCTTTTAAAATAATATATTCATTTGAATAGTGAAGCAAAATATGTGTTTTACAATTTCGGCTGACGTGTTTGCAGCCCTGTTTGCGATTGCGCGCTGCACAGGAAGTCGCACCAAAGGTAGATCTACAAAACACGGCTGCCTGCTATTCACGCTGCTGATTGAACCATCCACATGATATTTTAATCAGCGGCGATACTGCGCAGTAGAACCCAGCAGGTCGTCACACAGCCCTTCTAGTCCAAAATGGCGCTATGTTTACGTCTCTGCATAATCGTGTATTATCTCTAGCAAGTCTCATGGAGAACTTAGTGTATTTTATTGACTGGAAAAGATAATTTGACCTAACGTTTAGCTACAAGAGTGACCTACGACAAACCGGACATTCGGTAATGTTCATTCGAGGCACGTTTTTTTAAATTGCAGTTTGCTGTTAAGAAATAGCTAGGCCAGTGTTAGCTAGCTACCTAAGTCAAATAAGAATATATTACTACTTAATGTGTTGCTTTGTTGACTGCCTATCAGTCAGCAAAGTTAACAGCTATCGTTAGGCTGTTAGTTCAACTTTAAGGGCTTGATTGACTGCAAGCTCTCTTTCAGGAACTCTTACCCGACACATCTGAAGTAACTTTCTGTTGCACTGTACTAACATGCATGTTTCTGTTCAGCAGATCTGTGGCTACAAGGTTGACCAGCAGCAGTACGGAGGATGCAGGCGGACGCCACAGACTCTGCCCTGAGGGAGGGCATAGAGACCCTGGGTGTGAAGGACACAGAAAAACCTGCAGAAAAAGAAGACAACACAGAGAAACACGGCACAGAGATGACAGCTGTCCCAGGGGAGGTTTCAACGATCAAGGAGGAAAAAGGTAACTTCATTAAGAAAACACATGACAAAAAGACTGAGGGTTGTATAGTATCTGCAGATACAATAACCTGCAAGGCAAACAAAGCTGGAAATAACTTTATTAAGGAATATTAAATAACTATTAAGGAGAATGGATCACATTACCCCATTTGTTACCTTTATATTATACTTGGGAATAAAGCTATTAAATGACCTTGTTCTTTCCTACATCATTTTTATTTTATATGTCAGTCAGATCAACCGATGTATTCTTTAAAATGCATCTTATATGGCTCTGGATTTAAGGATGGCAAGCTCTTTTGGTAGTTTGAAAGGAATTTAAAGGCGCATCTTTTTTTAGCTGTTTTTTTTTTTTTTTTAAACCTTTGTTTTCCTTTCCATTATTTTCCCAAGTTGTCTCAGAGTTTTAACCTGTGCTTGTCTGATATGTAAACAATGTAGCACTGTGTTGAGTTGTACATGCAATAACTTGTTAGTGCTATAATTGTGGATGTGTTAAACTGATTTTCTACGCATGTTTGCCTTTCAGGTGATACAGATGCAATGGAAGTAGATCAACACTGTGAGGCGCCTCAGGCAGACACGGGGGTGGAGGCTGAAAAGAAAGCGCAGGCTGTTGGAGGGGATAATGAATGGGAAGTTGCGTACAGTGATGAGGAAATTGAGGACCCCAAAAACTGGATGCCCCCTACTACTGAGATCAAAAGACTCTATGAGCTTCTCTCTAAAGGGGAGATGCTGGAACTGAACTTTGAGCCCCTTCCCAGGAGGCCGCCCACTCCTGAACGCACCCCCTCCCCAGAAAGAGAGGACGAGGACGAGTCAGCAAAGGAAAGAGAAAGGGAGGAGAGTCAACACAGGTCAGTAAACCTACTCCTCATCATGTCATCTTTAAGGTTTTAGGTTTATTTACAGGCATTTTCAAGCTTTTTGTGATTTTTCTTTTTTCCAGGTCTATAACTCCGACTGAGTTTGACTTTGATGAAACGCAAGCCACACCAAAAAATGCCTTCATGAACAGACGCAGAACACCAGGTAAAAACCGTTGAGATGTGGTCTTTTAAAACCCTGACAGTATAACTTAATGAATGAAAGGTGCTTGTTTTATGGAAGCACAGTAACATAGATAGTTAAGTAGTTTGTTTTCGGGACATCCAGTTGACATTTTTCCCTTTTCTCCCAGGATCTTCAGCTCGCTCGTCTGTGAAAAGGGAAGCTCGGCTGGACAAAGTACTGTCAGACATGAAGCGCCATCGCAAAATTGAGGAGCACATCATGCGTACGGGTCGAGATCTGTTCAAGAGTGAAAAGAAGAAGGAGGAGGCTCTGTCTCCAAACAGCCAGAAGGAGCGCGAGAAGGAAAAGGAACGAGACAGCAACCCAAACACCATCTTCTCCCCGAGACAGAGGAGATACTAAAGTATTCAGAGGAGATGAGGACTTGCCCACAGGCAAATAAGGCCAAGAGCTTTTTAAGGCTTTTTCAAAACTTGAATTTTTCTATGTAACGAGTTTTGTATGTTTTCTATGTGTGTTTTGTATGTTGGCAATAAACATTTGAACCCTGGAGAATGTCAATGGTTGGTGATGTGGATAAAAGTCCTCTGCAATGGTATGTCATTCTGATCACAGTATACAAAGTTTATGAACTTTATGGATAACGAAAACCAGGGTTAATAAAGTTAATGATCACATTTATGCAGAATAAAAAAAACATACAATGTTGCAATAATGTAGTTCTGCTCATTAACCTACAATGCCTGCTGTGGCCTAATACACCAAGATAGGATTATGGAGGTTTATCACTATAAATGTAAAGTCCTGATTGTGTGAAATTCCTCCTATCAGCCAATTCAAAGTGTCTTTGAGTGTAGTTCCCAACTTTTCCCTAAAAGGAGCTTTTTTCTATCCCAGAATACATTTATGACCCCTAAATAGCATTAAGATATCTCATAATTTAAGCATAATAATAACATTGAAAATTGGTTTCTTTAGTTACTGTTCATACAATTTACACTGCATTGTTTTTATTTGACCAATCGTACTTTGATTTAGGTGAGAAAAACCTAATATAAGCTTTTGTTTGAGTCACAAATTGTGTCTTTCCATTAGAGATTTTAAACAAGTTTATATATTAAAAATTAATATAAAATGCAGCAACGTTGTCTCATACCTATGTAATACCCAGAATGAACCCATGTAGAGCTGTGGCATCCTTGAAGGACACCTCCACTTTTAGATGTTTGAAATTGAATTGCTAGTAAAGCAGTCATTAGATACATGAAGTGTGGCGCCCTCTAGTGGCTCACACTTGTCTGAAGTTCAACTAGGTTGATTATTGATTATTTAACAGTCTAAAAAGCTTGTGAAAAAAGAAGACTGGAGGCAGGTTCAGGACAGAGAAGTATATTTTAGCTAGGTTTGAGTAACAATACGGCCTTCACATAAGGCTCAGAAGCATATAGTATAATATGTATGCATAAATATGCATTCAAAACCACAAACCAAATAAATTAATACTTACAAATAAATAACAAGCATTTGTGGAATATACAGTACATCAGTTGAATGGTTAGTATTGTCAAGAAGCAGTACCTTATGAGTTCATGGAACGGGAATGGATGTTCTGTGTTCAACATGCCCACAGTGGTCCAGATGTTTTTGCACACGCTGCCCTGTCTAGATGCTTTCGGAGTTGTGTTTTTTTTTATTTACCCATTTTGCGGACGGTGAAGCTGATTTAAACAAAAATGATAACACTAGCCTGTTTGATCACAGGAGGTTCATAGAACCGGTGGCTCAAAGAAACGGCTAAGTGACTGAAGCAATGCATGAGGTGTAAAAAGCTTTAAACAATTTGACTTAATGGTTAAAAACAAAACCAAATGAGAAACATAAATTGCCATGGACAAATGTGCTGCGTGTCTATCACAAGGGAATGCTTCCCTACAAGATTTTTCACTTTTGTTTCCCTTCAAACCTGCAGCATCGCAAGTCCCCTGACAAAGATATAAATACTCAAAAGTTATGGATCCCTTACTGACTTATTCCAGCCAATCAAACGGATATTTTGAGCATTATAGCAACAAACAAACAAAAACACTCATTTCAAAGTGGCTGCTACTGTGCATCACTTCCTTGTATTAAAAAAAAAAACACTTTGTCATACCAGTAAATGGAATGAAGTCATATCTACACTAAAACCAGAAGCACTGCCATAACGTCTGCGGGAGAAGTGCCAACACTAAGCTGTGAAATGTTTTGCTTTAATGCTGACATGTAATTGTTTCGAAAACGTCTGTGGTAACAGCAGATGTAGAAATGAGACAAAACCTAAAAAGAATAAAATAAAAATTGAAAACCAACATTGAACTAATACTGACATGGAAATCAGGACAATTTTACACTGGCTATGTACACCCGTCACATTTTCTGTCTGGAGCCTCCTCCTCCTCCTCCTCCCAGCATAAAAAGAAATAAAAACCTAAACTGCAAAGAATGGGGAAAAGGGATAAGGCAGCAGAAAACAGTCTTATGAGATTATCTCCCTTCTAAAGATGAGTCTGCAGGTTGGTTACATTTTGTTAGAGTGACAGTGACTACATAGAGGATACAGATATTAAACACTAACAAGTCAAAATACTGCTTAGCCAGGATTTTTTTCTTTTTTGGAGGTCCTCTTCATTACTAAACTGAATTAGGCCTTCCATCTACAGCAAATGTACTAACATACAATATAATACATTCCTATGTTCCTGCTCTTCCTATACCGTGAGGCAGAGAGGACTCAATTTGATCTACGTGAGGGAAAGAGCCACCTATGCTCGCTATACATCCAGGCAGATTCCTCTCAGGTCAGTGCATGTTTCTATCTGTCACAGTGCCGGATGACATCTTTAAATACTGAGAGCACTAACACTCCACTAGTTTCCTACAAACTGAGACGCTGAAGTGCTTGAAGGCCGGCCACCAAATCATTTCTCTGTCAAGACTTTGAGTGCAGGCCGCAAACACTTCAGCGCCTTTGAGGCCATTGTCTGTAGCTTTCTTCATATTGCTACTTGTTCCAAGTCTTCCTTTCCCCTTCACAGCTTTCTTTCATTTACATACTCGTTGGAACATTCGCCTTCCTTCCCTCCCTCCCTCCCATTCACTCTTCTCAGTGAGAGGACAGATCAGGGTCTGAGGAGCGAGCGCTGTAGCCGTTGGCCGGCTGCGGCAGTGCGTTGCCATCAGTCTGCCTCTCCTTGGCGACACCGCGGGATCTCTGAGAGCGGGAGGAGCCCGTGAAAAGTCGCAGGGCTCCCCTGCAAATGAGGGAGAACCAATAGAGCTGCGGGGCCATGAGCAGAGCGGCGCCGAGGTTACAGTGCCAGGGCACCGACAGGGGGACCATGTGGAAGGGAATGGACGCGTACCTGGATCCAAAGACATAAAGAGTTGTAAACTCTGAGAGTTTCATCCATCAGATAGAGATCATGAGGCTGAGCAGGTTACCGACCCAAGCTGAGCGACGTAGCAGAACATGAGAAACAGAGATGGAGAGACAGACATACCTTCCATAGGCGTAGTAGAGGTAAGGGAAGAGGAGGACTCGACAGATGAAAAAAGTGATCAGCATAAGAGCCCCATTCACTTTGTGCAGGATAGTGTGTTGCTGTTTGTACTGAGAGCAGAGAAAAAGGTTGAGAGAGAGAGGGAAAAAGAAGAGCAAGCAGTACAGTTTGGTGAAACCTGACTGTGTTAATGTATTCTCCTTTGCATTCTTTTTATAGTAACATTGTTAATTATATCTTCATGGACTGACATGTGGTGATGGAGGGCACGCTGTGCCATGCTGCAGGCTGGACTGGAGAGTGTTCGTCAGTGAAGCAGTCCTTTTGTTTTTACATTCTCATGTGTTTACAGAAGATTACTATACTTTTATCTCCAACCTGCTTCAGTGAGATAACACTGAGGACACGCTTACGACTCATTTGCACTGCACGGCACGGCTCTACTTATATCCACTATGCTCGTTTGGTTATCTTTAGGTAAATATTGTAAAACGTACTTTTTTTGGTAGCACTTTAAAAAAGGTCTCAAGCAAGCTGATCACTTAATGGCTGAAATTATCCTCACTAGCAAGACACCGCGTATCCTCCATTCTTGAATTTATAGACAATCTGCTGTCAATACAGAACCTGATTTAAAAAATGGCCGCCCACAAAGCTTGAGCGCACATTTAAAAGAAATGCAGGATTTCCATTTGTTTGGTTGCCAATACAAAAATGATTTAAGGCGTTAAAGATGTTTTTAATGCAATTTATTCTGGCAGCGCTACCACCGAGTCGAGCTAACCAGCAGAGACACGACTTTCTATAAAATCATTTTAAAAGTTTCACTCATACTCAATTTGAGTCTCATATCTTAGAATAAAATGGCATCACTATTGATCATTTACAATTGTTTTGGTACAGTAGGGCACAGCTTTTGTTTCGTTTCTCAAATAGCCACATGCACTGTTGTCAGGGACGGGGGGGGTGACGGTGCTGAGTGATAGAGGGTAGAAGGACATGCTGATATTGTATCTGCTGAATATCCAGCCTGAATACTAAGGGCTATATTCAGAGGCTAACAGCTGTGGGAGCCTCAGATGGGGATCAAGCGGAGCGCATGGAGGTAAAAACCTTCACCCGTCACTGAAACACCGCACACACATCCACACTAACCTAAAACAAATACTGAGGGGGGTTCAGCTCCTAGTATGTGTATCCAAGCAAACTGTGTTACCAATGGTGTTTCTGACAGTGGTGTTCATGTAACGGCCCGTCTACACTACAGGCATCGAAAAATGCTTTCAACGCTTCGCCCATTCACTTGAATGGGGTGACGTAGAAGATTTTTAATCTTCGCCGAACTGCATTGTGGGGAGCATGGCATGGCTTTGCAAGCATCACGAGCATCTATCGGCATCAAAAGTTTAACAATGTTCAACTTTTGAGGCTCGATGCTTGGCATCAGCCAATCAAATCCCATTTATGAACATTGTTAAACTTTTGATGCCGATAGATGCTCGTGATGCTTGCAAAGCNCGCTGCCCAGCCCTCCAACCTCACCCTGCTGCTCCTCTCCATCTTCCTCCTCTCCCTGCGCCGCTCCCCCCCCCTCCCCTCCGTGGCGTCTCTCATCCTCTCCACGGAGCTCGCCCTCTTGGCGCTCTTCTTCTCGTACCTCTTCCTGCGCTCCTGCTGCTCCCTCTCTCTCTCCACCTACCTGTCGCTCAGCCTGTGGGCGAGCGGGATCTTCAGCTTAGGGCTCTCCTTCAGTCTGGGGATTTACTACATCCCCATGATCCTGGTTTCTGCCTCCTTCCTCTCCTCTCCCTCCCTCTTCTTCTCTCTCTACTTGGTGGTGGTGCTGATAGTCAGGCCGGCCCGAGAATTCTTCCAGCACGCACCCCGCAAAGTGAACCGCCTCTATATGCGTGTTCTTTTCCGCCTGCCTCGCCCTCTCTTCGCCATGTGCCAGTCGGTGTTCGGCGGCATGGCAGAGCGTAACCTCTACGAGATGTTTCCCAAAGCGGGGCGCAACTGGGGCGGGCGCCGATCCAAGATCCCTGTCCCCCTTAAGAGCCTGCCGTTAGAGCACCAGGCTCGCTGCAGTAACGCCTCCCCCCTGGCCAAAGGTCTCCTCTGGGTGAAGCGTTTCAGCCGGCGGCCCCTCGGGGTCCTGGCAGATCTGGCTAACTCCGTAGTGCTAAAGTTTGCCCAGCGGCTCCTCCAAAAGCTGCCTCAGAGTGTCCGGATCAAATTCCAAACGCTGGGCCTCACGAGGAGGGAGAACCCGAGCCGGCTCCCCCGACTGCTGCCCAGGGAGGTGAGGGAGAGGAGGCAGAGGGAGAGGAGGGGGAGAGAGAGGGAGAGACAGAGGAGGGAGGAGAGGTTTTTCCGTGAGGATGTGAGGTGGGAGTGTGGGTTGAGACGAACTTCATCAGGAAGGTTTGTCAGGGGGAAAATCCGGCCATGGAGATAGAGTAGATCATGAGAGACCAATGGATAGAGTGTGTGTGTGTGTGTGTGTGTGTGTGTGTGTGTGTGTGTGTGTGTGTGTGTGTGTGTGTGTGTGTCCATGCTCCCTGCCCAACCATCATTTGTGTGTCTTTTTGATTTGGGACCACACGTCTCTCTTTGTTACATAACTCCCAAACTGGTTTTTGGTCACATTTCCAAAAGATGAGACACAGTTCCCCCAACGTGGTGGGCCGTGCTGATGTAAACAGCTGAACCCACCATTACTGTACCAAACCCAGTGAAGTTCCATTATTGTGCTTTTTGTAAAAGTTGTTATTGTTATTATTTTTGCTCTTAATTTGTAAGACATATTTTATGGTTATTTTTGAAGACCAGTTTTGTGCAATCTGTAGTTTTTCTTTCATAGTGGTCTTATCTTTAAAGGGTGCCCTGTTATCTCGGTGCGTAGAACAAATCTTACAGTGTTGCAAAGCTGGCTATAATTTCACTCCCCAAAGCTGAAAACTGTGAAAAGATATTAAAATAACCTAAAGATTTCACTAACGTCAGCCTAACACTAGCCCTCAGTCGGTAAAAAGTGCAATAAAAAGCTGAACAGAAAAATCTTGGACCACTGCGAGACGTATGATCGAATAAAGCGTAGTTTATCTGTTTAGGAGTCCAAAGTGTAAAATACTTGCTTACGTTGGACTTCAAACTTTGGGCCATTTAACGGGAACAATAACGCTTGATAACGCAACCAAAGGATATTATTTACAGCTGGTGAAATCATATATTTTACACTCTAGTTAGTTATACTGTTATTGCTCTTTATGTAATAATATTTGTTATGATTTACCATGTAAACATTTAGATATGTGTACCCTCAGTAATCCTATTCATGTTCAGCAGTTGAGTGCCTAGTTACAACTGTTGGCACGAATGTTAATATCTCTTGTGAAGTGGCGTATCCTAAAGTAATAGTGGGATTATAAGAATGCAGAATATACGTGGAAGTAGTGAAATATAATATAATAGAAAACGTATTTAATATTTCAATGTAGCCTAATTTATATGAAGCCATATAGACAATCGTTTGAGACATGCAATCGTAAAATAAAGTCCAAAGATTGATGCAACTACTGAATGTGAAAGTAAAAATTAAACATGATATGAAAATAAGATGTCCAGTCATGGCACACGATTATTTTTGCACTTTCCAAAAGACAATTAAAAAAAACAAAAGTAGAAGAGCAGATTACTTCAGATAAGCGCAAATATTTTCACTTTTGCCGTATACAACTTAAAAAAGATATATAAAAAGATAGTGTACCAACGTGATGTCTTCCAGTATCTTGCTTTGTTTGATTAAGAGATGTTATGTTTGCATTGCTATTATATGACAGGGAACAATAACAAATCCTCTGAATTAAGAAGCTGGAAACAGAGATTTATTGGCATTGATATGTATTTTTGCTTTAATACCCAATCAGACCAAAAAGACATGTGACCGTTTATAGCAGCGTTTCCATCTAATGCTTTTTTCAATATTAAAGACTAAACACCAAAATGCTCTGGTTTTAGTTCAAATGAAGTCAAATGAAGCCCACTTTGCATAGATCTGAGAGAACTTTTAGAATGAGTTCAAATGCATTAGTTCCTATCGATGCTAATTATGTAGGAGACTAAAGGCCCTGTACTGTATATCACAGGAGAAGGACTTTTGAGCCACTTAAATGGAGGGCTATTTCTGAGTAGGAAAACTTGATCTTAATCCAGGTAAAAGAAAAAGTAGGGCACTTTATTTTTGGTGACCTGCATTGAGAAGTCTAGCTTTAAAAAAAGACACCATTTTTTTTTTTTTTGAATGTAACTTATTTGCCATTGATTTTCATTTGTGGTGGAGTATCGTTTATCTCCTGTTCCTCTGTGTTTGTTTACATGTGTGTATTCTGTTTTGTTGTGACACCGTTTCCACAGTTACATCACTTTTTTTTTTTTTTATATTTTATTTATGCAGTATTTATAAGACAAGTACTGCATTCTGTTTGGCAGCCATTTTGTTGTCCCTTTATTCTCATTTTAGCTGCATGAGTGTTGGCGTACTGTATGGCTGTTAGCCGCAAGCAGAAAGAAATATTTTGTCATAAATCCATTTTTTTTTTTTTCTTTACACAAAAAATAAATTATTTTGTGTTGAACTCATTGTCTTGTTTGTTTTTATGATTTTTGTCTCCATTATTACCTTGTCTTCATTTGTTTACTTCCCCCCCCCGTCATTTATCAACAAATCTTGTTTTATTTAAAGATCCCTTTCATCCTCCCTCCTCTATCTCACATTTGATCTGTTATCGTTTGATGCCCTTTCCTTTGTCGGATATCCACCAAACATAATGCCAACAGCTTCTGTGGCTTTTTAATAACAAAGCTTACATACGTTAAAGGGTGTTAAACTGGTATACAATCGTTCATAGCACTCACACGATTTCTGTGTTATTTGATGAAGCAAATTTCTTATAATGCCAAACTAAAAGGTTAAATAATATTGTCTTTTTTAGGAAATGCAACACATTTTTTATTTAAAGTTTCGATACAAATTAATTAAATTAAGGGGGCCATCTTTAAACCCAAAAGTACTTTGGTCTGCTTATACGTTCCATGTTTAAAAAAGCGTAATGTTTTTTCTAACTACATTTGGTAACCTGAAATGTTTCAAAACATTGGGTTTAAACGGTCTTATTCAATCATTTTCACCGAACAAATGTACATTCCATTTTTCATCTATAAGTGGAACTCCTTATTTAATGCAACAAAATATATTTCAAAGAAAAACAACACCTTTTTAACACTTTTTTACATAATTAGGATTCATGTTTTAAGGCATTGACTAAAAATGGCCTTCATTAAAATCAAATAATTGCGTCCATGTATTATCCATTTAGTTTAAAACTGCTTTATTGCATTGAAAAACAATAATATTGAACAACAAAAAAAATGTTTACCCAATGGAGGAACCCAAAACACTTATAATAATAATAATACAGCAAGATATAAAACAAAGCAGACCATAGAGAAGCATTGATGTCATTCTGGCCATGCTGGGGTCACTGGAAGATTCAACACCTGACAGGTACAGTACAACAAAATACAACAGTTGTGATTTTCCTATGGAAGGCATTAGTTGGAGTTATGGTAACATTTTCTAACAATAATTTCATCATGATTTGTTACAAATATTCTTTAGTTTGCTATTTTTTCCCATCATTTTCTGTGTTTACCATCCATCTCCATGTCCATAAATGAGCCCAGGAGCACCTGAGCCGAGCTGCTTCTCTCTCCTCTCCTGCAGTCCAAAGAGCTGCAGATCAAGCGTCAGTTCCAGGACACCTGTAAGATCCAGACCCGGCAGTACAAGGCGCTGAGGAACCACCTGCTGGAGAACACGCCCAAGTCGGACCACAAGGCCGTGCTGAAGCGGCTGAAGGACGAGCAGACGCGTAAGCTGGCCATCCTGGCCGAGCAGTACGACCACTCCATCAACGACATGCTGTCCACTCAGGCTGTGAGTAAGGCAAGGGGTCGTCGTTCATTTCACTCTCGCACCACAGGGGGTCCGCCCTGCCCGCACGCTGCCTGCCATCCTGCCCGACAACAACAACCTCCTGGTGCGCCTCCACCTAAACCCACATATCCCAGCCTTATACCTGTATTGCCCTCTTCCAAAACATCCCTTACCATTACATTCTCTCATTTTAGGGCTAAGACTATGACATGTAATAATAATAATAATAAATGTTATTTCTATTGCGCTTGTCTTGAACCCAAAGACGCTTTACATTTGGGAGGGAGGGTAGACAAACAAAACAAAAACACAAAGAAACAAAGAAACAAAACAAAACAGAAAAGCAGTCAGGAGGAAGTTGGTTGAGAGGGGGGGGAGGGGCTTATGGATAAAGAGTTGAAGAGGTGGGTTTTGAAAACAAATGTTTGAATACTGTAAAAAGAAAATTAGTTTAAGATCCAGAAGTTACTCAAACTTAAAAAGGGCCCATAAAGCAACATGTCACAACAGAGTCCCTGTATCAAAGCTTTATTTCCCAGTTTACAGTTATACTAACGTATTGATGGTAGAACCATAAAGACAGTTATGGAAACAGTAAATGTTGAACCCTATAGTTTGTCCAAATGTAGCATTGTCTTTTTCCAGACTTCATTCTGCATCATAGCATATCGACGGTACAGTTAAATAGTATTTACCTTAACCCTATTCAAATTACATTCATGTTAACTGTATTGGTGTCAATTGCTGATAACACTCTTAAAGTGCCATTTAAGCTGTGTAAAGAAAGTAGTGCAATATACATATAAAACATAACATCAGCGCTGAAATGATATATTATTATGGGATGGAATCTTACAAGTGTAAAACTCCACATTATAAATGTTACTTATGCAAAAACATGCAAGTATTATTATGAAAACGGGCTTAAATGGATCAATGCTAAGAACAATTCCCTGTTAATGAAATATATAAACTTCAAATGATTACAAGCACATCAGAAAATACTACATTTTGAGAAGCTGAAACCATTACACTCTTTTAAATTGGCAACCTAAATAAATAAATAATTGTTAAAATACATTTGTAAAGTTCAAGAGCATTGCATTTGTACGTTTTTACAGTACGAATTAAATGTGCCTAGTTGATCCCCTGGTGAGGGTTTTACTTTTTAAACAGTCCAACATAGGGATCAGCCCCCCCCCCCCTCCACTCTCCAGCTCGCCCCTGCCCTGTAAGCGTGCGACTCACACACATAGACAAATCCCGGCTTTTAAATGAATGAAACATCATAGGAAGAGGACGTGATGGTCTCGTTCCCTTCAGTGACGTAACGCCCTGTGCCACTTTAATTACCTCTCATCGTGCCATGTAAGCCCGGTAAGCCAAATCCCCGCTGCCCTTGTTCGTCCGCACATCCTCTTCTCGCCCTGCGGCCAAAGTCTCTTTGGGCCGGTTTCCCACTCACTGATTAAAGTCAATGCTGAGGTCAGAAACACAATATTGCTTTTAAGTGACATTTCTTATGGAACATTTTTGTATCTGTTAGCCAGGCATCACAACAGGTTAAAGAAGTGAAACATGTTGTAATATTACACTGATTTATTAAGATCATTGAAATATAAGTGATCAATATAAGGCAGTTTTCCAATTTACAGACCGACTTCCACTATTTCTGTCTGAAACATTTTAGTTTATCAGTATTATATGCACAGAAATTCATAATTAAGCTTTTAATTTGACAATTTCTTTAATTTGTATACATACTTTTGACTTCCTCATATTGAATACAGCATATAACAAAACACTGTTTCCACAAACACACTCCTGCTCTTCTCCTCTCTGTGTGCATCTCCCTTTCTCTACCTTCGTGTCCTCAGCACTAAAGCACAATATATACCGCCCATACAATCGTGCCAAATGCATCTTTTATTCATATACCTCTTATTTTCTGTCTCTCAGCTGCGATTGGACGAGACCCAGGAAGCGGAGTACAAAGTGTTGCGCATGCAGCTGCAGCAGGAGCTGGAGCTGCTGAACGCCTACCAGAGCAAGATCAAGATCCACACGGACACGCAGCACGACCGGGAGGTGAAGGACCTGGAGCAGAGGGTGTCCATCCGCAGAGCTCTGCTGGAGCAGAGGGTGAGACTCAATCACTGCTATGAAGCAAAGCTCTTTACAATGTAATAAAGGCCTCTGGTGAGGATTAGTAATCCAGTTGGGCCTGCAGAGAAGATTGGAAACTGAAAGGCAACCTAGCTATAACGTTGTTGGATCAGATAACACTTTTTGCTGTCCCATGTTGAGACAATTAACTTCATATTTTCTACAACTATACCTTTAATAAAGGGTTTAACCGCAAGGTACTCTGAGTAATCATAGGTACACATAATCGCCACATAATCTTCAACAGTGGAGTTATACTTTAAAGATGTCCTGTCTGTGTAGATATCCTGGTGCTTTTGATCCTATTGCTTAACCTCCTTAACAGCAGGGCATCTCAATCTACTGATAAAGATTTTGTGTTTTGATAAAGAGCCTCAAAAAAGCAACAAACTTGTGTTGAGTTTTCTCTCAAGTTTTCTCTCAAGTTTTCTCTCTTTTTTTGCGGAATCTTGGATTGGGAAATGATGCTAACACCTTTTAGTAATGCCACAATTGAAAAGAAACATTACATTATGTTTTAAACGTTCTCCTAGATCGAGGAGGAGATGCTGTCCCTGCAGAACGAGCGCTCGGAGCGGATCCGCACGCTGCTGGAGCGCCAGGCCAGCGAGATCGAGTCCTTCGACTCTGAGAGCCTGCGGCTGGGCTTCAGCAACATGGCGCTGTCAGGCATCCCCAGCGAGGCGTACCCCATGCAGGGGGGCTACCCCAACGTCCCGCCCCCCAGCTCCCGCTCCGTCGGCCACTGGAGCCACGGCATACACCCGCACAACCTCCCCCCGCAGCACCTCCCCCCGCAGCACCCCTCCGCGCAGCCCACCCCGCCGCAGCCACGCAGCAGCAGCATCCCGCGCGGCAGCAGCGGCATCGGGAGCGGCAGCGGGGCGGGGGACCGCCGCAGCGAGGCCTCCTCCTCCTCCTCCCATGCCCTGGGACTGGCCCTGCAGGGGCTGGGGCGGGACGGGAGGGAGGCGCACCACTCGTCCCGCTCCTCCGCCTCTTCTTCCTCCTCCTCCTCCTCCTCTTCCTCCCACCACCAGCGGCACCACCTGCCCCAGCACTACCACCACCAGAGCACGCCGCAGCTGTACCGCGAGAGGGAGCGGGATCGAGACCGGGAGAGGGAGCGGGAGAAGGAGCGGGAGCGGGAGTGGGCCGGAGTGCGGGGCTCCGGCGGCGACCTGGCCCACCCTCACCCCCTGCCCTTCTCCCATCACCTGCCCTCTCGCTCCTCCTCTCAGTCCCTCGCCATGCTACCTCCCCCGCCGCCCGCCCCTCCCTCCATCTCCGGCCCGTCCTCCTCTTCCTCTTCCTCCTCCTCCTCACAGGGGGGGATTTACTCCGGAGGGCTGGGTGTGCGGGGGGCCCCCAGCCTCCTGGCGCTGAGGAACAGCCCCCAGCCTCTGAGGAGGACGGCGTCCGGCGGGGGGCCAGGGGGGGCCGGGGGCAGCGATGGCGTCCTGAGCCGAAGCACCTCGGTCACCTCGCACATCTCTAACGGATCCCACCTCTCATACTCTTAGTCGAGAGGGGGGTATCTTGCAGGGGGGGGGGAGTGATCTAGGAAGGTAGCTATCTCAGGGTGCATCTCAATACTCTCAGCTTGCCTTTTCATGCCCTCCATCTCACTGATCTCTCCTCAGAATATCTCAAACGCAGAGGATTTAGGGATATCACCCTTTCCTCTTAACGCACAGTGAAGCAGAGATCAGTAGGGGGGGAGGGGGGGGAGGACAAGCTGACTTTGCTGAGCTGCTCCTTTAGACTCAGGGCGGGTAGAGAGGCTTTCTCCCATTCCCACTGGTGTATAAAAGGAGGGAGGAATGTACCCACCTGTAATACCACTGGATGAAGGCGGTATTATATTTAAAAAAGAGGAGGCTTGTGTTCAGTGTTTTTATCTTTGTTACTGCCTGTATAAAAGCGAGACAGGAAGTGTGAAATAGGGATGTTCTACCGTTTCTTCTCCCAGAGCTGCAGAGAAAGTGGACGGCAGCCATGTCTTCTTCTATGATGTTCTTTGATTGAATGGAGAAAGAGAGAGGACAGGGGGAGGGAGAGGTGTTTTTTTGCATTGTGTATGTACTTGTATGTAGTCTGTAGTGTTCAGATATATCTAGCAAGCACTCGTAAACTGCGGCTCCAGAAAGGAAAAAGGGGGAGAATCACAAAAGAGGAAGTCTGCAGGGGGGGATTTAAAAACACTTTTTATTGATTTACAACGGTTGATGTTTTGTTGATTTTTTTGTATTAAGTGTATAAAAAAAACACAAAAACAAGTTGCTTGGAACGTCACCAATGCCTTTAAGGGGTTCTTAAAGGGATGTCGTGCCGTCAAAGTTTTTATTTGATGACTGCGAGATCATTTAAACACCGAATGTTTGTAAAGGCAAAAAGACTCTGTTCTAAAAATGCAGCTGGGGTGAAGAGAAACATTTGTGAGGACATGTAAAAATACAAAAGAAAAAACAACAACTTTCCATGACATATTGAGTATCTAAACAACATAGGTGTCAATGGGAGTCACTCCAATGCATGAGATAGACGTACAAAAAAAACCATTCGTAAACATGACCAAAACCACATTTGAAACGTGCCGTACCTGTCCGAAGATCACTCGTCCCACCTTTTTGATCTTTACTGTACATATTTATGGGGATATTAAAAAAACAAACACAAGTCATTGGTTTTATAGAGTAACAAAGATAATGATAGTAATTTTGATATATTCAAGTGAGTATTGAATTCAAGATTTAGAGCGACAACTCATTTTCTATAGGTGTCAATATTACCATAACTAATCCTGATGTATCGTTGTTGTAAACATGTTCACAATTTTCTCTCGCGAAGAAGAAGGGCCCACTTTTGACTGTAATTAATAATGCTAAAAACTGTTGTCAGGTATGGTGTGTTCAAGATATTAAGGATTATTAATAAGGGGTTATTAATAATCCTTAATGATTCGTGTATGTGTCTAGTTATATTGCCACTTTATTTTTTATTTTTAGACAAAATAATTGAATTTTGAAAAGGCACTCGTAAAGCAGCAACACCCCACTTATCAACCTCCTCCTCTGGACTCATGGAGAAGAGATTTTACAATTAGGCACTGGAATGTAAATGCTGTTTCTTCCTTTTTCTATTTATTTGTTTTTAGCGTAGGGAAAACGTTCCACACGTAAGCTCTCGAGGACAGAAAGAGAGGAAGAGTTGGCACAATCCTTGCTGATAATCTCACTGGGTGCAGCATGACTGATGTGTGAAAAACAGGAGAAGAAGAAAAAGGAGGAAGTGGGAGGACGTGCGTCGACTGAGCTGCTGTCAACGTGCACCCTCTTGTGCCCTCTTGGCACAGCAGCAGTGACCGCAGCAGCACGTCCTCCCAAAAAAAAGAAGACGACACAAATCAGTGTTTCACGGTGATTCACACTCTGAAGGTTTCTTTACTTGAAGTAGAAAAAACTGGACTTTTTTTGTTGTTTTTTATGTTATTTGAAATGAAAAAAAGATAATCACCCTGCTGTTTGTATGACACAGAAACACCAGCTCAAGACAATTCCCTGTATAACCTACTACTTTATGCTCGGTTGGAATCTCAGTGCATGCATGAACTCCTTATATAAACTAAGACTGGCGGGTTTCGGGCCTTGTGTTGCGGGAAGTCGCTGTGGTAGTGTTTTTAGACGGGTTGTTGTCAGAGGTCAGAGGTCAAGGCCGAGGGCAGGGAGTCTCAGTCCCTGAATCGCGTCCGGAGGAAAGTTGAAGACGAAGAAGCAGCACAGGATCGTCTGTGTTTTGCAGAGTTTTCGAGATGGGGAAGGGGGGGGGTTAGGGGTTGAAACCCTTATCAAATACTCCAAATCAAGCTTTTCCAAGCCTGACGAGGACAAAGGAAGAAGGGTCTTGACACATGTATTGGAAAGAAATGGGGTGCTTTAAAAAGTAATTTAAAAAAAGATAATAAATTGATATTAACACATTAACTCGTCGTGATTTGATATGTTTTAATCGGATGGCATCATTTATTAAGATGTTTATTACAAGGCTGAAACTGGTCGGTTGGTAAAAAAAAAATACATTCTAAATTTTCAGATTCACAAATTAGCTTGTTTTCTTGGTCTTTTAGGATATTCAACTTTAATATCTTCATTTGTTTACGTTTGAATTATGTCAACTTTGGCTTTGGGAAATTATGTACAATACTTTTTAACAATTTTATGTCTCAAAGCCCATGTTTACATATAAATGTGTTATTTTGTTAACGGTAAACCCCTCAAATGAGTTGGTTTGCTCTCATATCCACATTTAAGAGTCTGTAAATAGTGAATGTGTGAGATTTTAACTGAAGATCATGATAAATCGTTAGTTAGGGCTTCAAGCAAGTACAAATATATTATAACATTGTTTAATATTGCCATAACAAAACACCGTGTGCTGTGAAAGCTATTAAACTAGACTCAGTTCTGCCTTTCAGCTGTATTTCAGCAAATTGCTTGTTAAAGTAAAAAAAAAATGATATCCAACATTATTTAATTGAAGTTAAAACCAAAAAACAGTTGATATCCGGATGACTATCCTATTAATAATATTTTGTTAATTGACTAATCCAGTAAGCATTGAGCTTTTTTTTATAAAGATTTGGAGGTGTGTACATAGGTTAAGAATACCATATGTTATGCACAATATGTATTTGTATATATATTTTCCAAAGCAGACTGTTTTTATGCCCGATTATGCTCGTCCATTGTGTGTGCATGCTGAGCAGCTATTCGTCCTGGTTACTATATCTGACTCTGACATCATGCCGACGCACCTCCCTTTAAGATGCGTCAGTCATCTGTCCGTTAATGGAGTCATTCAGGCTGTTTTCTGCAGGAGGAGATCTACATTTAGCGTCGGCCGACAAAACACCAGGAAGGGAAGGGGGAGAGGACGGAAATGAGAGGGGGGTGTCCAAAGAGGAAAACCCTCTCCCTTTAAGAACAAGTGGGACATAGCGGTGCGAGAAAAGGAGAGGAGGGGGAGAAGAAAGAGGAATTAAAAAAGAAAAGGAAGAAAGAGACAGGGAGGGAGGAGGGAGAGCGGGCGATAAAAAAAGAAAGATGACATCCTCGCAGCTGAGCGGCCGAGGTGGAGCGATAGGCTGCGGCCGGCCGAGAGCGCCTCTCTCCGGGGTCAGAGCGTGAACCAACAGCGAGGCTTCGACAAACACCCGATTGGCCTATTGGGGGGAAATCGGAAAAAATAGATTCATAAATTAAAAACAAAGCATGACCTGCTGTGCTGCCAGATACGTGTGTTATTACCCTTTTTTGTTCTCTTGCGTGAAAAACATTTATTTTAGTATGTTTTTAGCGAAAGTGTGATAGTGTAATATGCGATTTTTGTTGTTTTTACCAAGCAGTTTTGTTGTGTGCGTTTTAGTGAGATTAGTGTGCTGGGGAATTAAAGTTAGAAACCAAAGTGAAAAGAGAAACAGGCCATTATTGTTGGACCTGGCCTGCTCCACTACTGCCTGTGTGCTGCAGCCTGCGTTAGTCAACAGCTGCGTGCATTTTAATGGACAGCATTAGGCTACCTCAATGAGAAAAACATATTTTTGCAGACGACTTTATCCACGTTTTTCACGCAAATCCAGAAGCCCGTGGTTTCTGCTGCAGGACAGGCGACTGTGTGCGCCTCGATCTCCGGTGGGCCGATCAAAACCATGCAAAGGCAGCCCTGCCCGATTTCAATCAGGACTTAATAATCTCCATCGCTGTGGCGCAAAATGGATGCTGCTTGGAGCAATTTTCTCTTCCAGGTAGGCTTGTTGATCAGGCATTACAGGCCTCTTTTTCTGCCCTCATTTTACTGCGCGCATGTTCTCACAGTGTGTGTCCAGCAGCCCTCACCTCATCTCGTATTTCAACGTAGCACCTCAAGATAATGCTGTGACTTGTGTTTACATTTGGTGATGGCCTTCTACTTGCTTCTCCAGAATACTCCCACCCAAAACCAAGTGGAGGGGAGCCTCCAATCAGAGCTCATGCAAGTGCATACGAGTTCTCCCCAAACCCCACCCACAGAGCACATAGCACAGCCTCCTTCAACTGTGGACACTGCTGCTCTCAATGAGGAACCCCTGCCTGGTGAGGGACACTGCACTGCATCCTACACCTGTGGAGCTGACAACAGTAAATACATCCCACTTCACTCTGATCTGCATAGTACGAAAGTCAATGAGGTGATACAAGTCCAGTGACCTCTATTTTGGTGATGGCAGGTGAACAAATAAAGAATATCTGTATTATTTTCATGGCCCAAAATTCAAAACGATAATTCTAAACCATGTGAAATTCAGACACTAATACATCCAGGATATCCGGACAGGGTTATCGGTATCTCAGTGTTTATTTGCTTGATAAAGGTGCTTTTCCCCCTTTTAAATTTGCCAAACATTTAGAAACACAACTTTGGAAATTATTTTTAAAACACTAAGTGGCTAGATTAAACTTGGGTGCTTAGCAGAGCTCCAATTTCTGATTAGAGCAGAAGCAATACGTTGATTAAACATTTACCGGAAATTTAGCAGGCAGCTATTTACTACAGGCAAGCCATTTTTTTTGCAATTACGTCCAAAGGTCACTGCTTTCAGTGTCACCAATGTGCATGCTTTCTATTTTTCATTGCCTTCTATGATAGTCAAATAAATATTTTATGATTTTGCAACATTGTTCAAACAAGCAAAGTCCCCTTTGGCTCTCATGGTCTACATTTCTCCCTATTTCTGAATTGATAATACTCAGACAATAAATGTTGGTAATTTAAACTATATAAGTTTTTTCTTCACATTTCCTTTTTTAGCTGGAGGCTTTATTGTATTTTCACCTGCAGATTACCAAAACATGGTCGACTGTGAAGATGTAAAATGTGGTCATTGTTGCAACACATGATCACTTGAAATCAACTAAGATATCACCATTTGATGATCTGTTTGTATACTCTGTAAACCAATGTTGTTGATTGAATAAATATAGCTGCTACTTTATCTGCATTTAAGGTTATAATGAGTATATACAAAAAAACAAAAAAAACACCTTCTTTGAAACTAACATTTTCCTCTCTCCCTTCCCCCCCGCCTCCCTGCGGTCCAGTGAAGCCTGTGTCCCGGCCCGGCCGCGTGCCCCACATCTGTGCCATCTGCAACAAGCAGTTCAAGAACAACTACAACCTGCGGCGGCACCAGTCGGTCCACACCGGGGTACGCATGAAGGACAGGGCCAGAGAGCAGGCGGAGGGGGCAAAGGAGGGCGCCGCGGCCCCGTCGGCGATGGCGGGGGGGGCCGGAGGGAGGGTGGAGAGGACCACTGTTCCCCTCTCCCTGCTACACCTCTCCGCTCCTCCTCCTCTCGCCCCTCCCGGCGTGCTGGCGGGGTCCCTGCAGATCCCTCTGGGTAGTCAGGATGGTGAAGGGGGGGCCATGGCTAACGTAATGGCTAGTGTTAACCCCCACGCTCCGCCTCCTGCTGCTGTCGTCATGGCCACAGGGGCGACAGTACAGGTGGGTCAGGGCCTTGTGGAGATGGCTGTTGTCAACCCCAAACCTTCAAGCATGTTGTTTCTTAAGCTGCCTGGCCACAGGGGTGGTTAAGTCCCCCCCCTCCCCCCGCTTCGTATTTGACTGAATCTCACCTGTGTGTTCAATACAAAACTGTCCATGTCCTGTAACCAGCTCAGGGACCAGTGAATTCCACCCCAGTGTTTGGCACTGGTCCCAAGTTTGAGAGAACAACGTGCTAGAAGCCCCCCCACGCTCCCCTGCATGTTCTCTGTAACTCAAACCGTGTGAAAGCAGATTCTTAAAATCCAGCAGGAAGTAGTTAATCTAACATCCGAATCAACTGTCAGTAATATTTGGCACATGTGCAACAAAGATATATCTGTGAGCTTCTGCATGGTTTTCAACAAACCACTGATTGTTTTCCTTCTTGTGTACGTAACTGTAATTCTGTAAATAACTGTGTGTTTCTGCTTGTCTGTTTTGGCTCAGCGACCCTCAAATCCCAACCCAAACCCAGTAAGGAAAAACCATGCCTGCGAGACGTGCGGGAAGGCTTTCCGTGACGTTTACCACCTCAACCGCCACCGCCTGTCCCACTCTGACGAGAAGCCGTTCTCCTGTCACATCTGCCAGCAGCGCTTCAAGAGGAAGGACCGCATGAGCCACCATGTGCGATCCCACCAGGGAGGCGTGGAGAAACCCTACGTCTGCCCCCACTGTGGCAAAGCTTTCTCCAGGTAACACTGTGGTTAAAGTCTATAAAAAATAAACTGTGATGATTGAGTAAGTTGAGGAGGAAGAAACTTTTTTATTTGTTGGATCTCACTCCTTTAATACGTAAAAAAACAAGATGTAAACAATGACAATGTAGCTTTAGACTTAACATACAGACATGAGAATGCTATCAATCTTATACAAAGCAAATAAGCCTATTTCCCAGAATATTTAACTTTTCCTTAATAAAAGTGCTTAGGAAATAATATTCTCTACATTTTAAGAGGTGCCATTACTTTTTAAAAAGGTACATTTGAAAGTATAAAACAGAATCTCACTTCAGACAGGATGCCTGTCCTTGTTTTCATCATAGCCTATTTATTTTCATACTCAGCTGATACGTGGTCACAATTGGTCTGTTATGATCAGTTTTTGGTCCTAGTCCCCTAGAGAAAAAGTGTTCTTTATTCTAAAAAAATATAAAGCTCTACCTATTCTAATAGTTTGACTCTCTTTCTTTCCGTAGGCCTGACCATCTGAACAGTCACGTCAGACAGGTGCACTCGTCGGAGCGACCCTTCAAATGCCCGGTGAGTCAGGTATACATCGTGCTCATTATCAAATTCCAAACAGCTAAAAATGTGCTTTCCAATTACTATGGAAAATGATTTGGATAAAGTGGATGCCTCTTTTAAACAGTATTACTATTACCAATATCTTTACCCGCAGCAGCTCACTGCCAGATATTTACAAGTAGATAACATACTGTATACATTCTCAGAACATATAAAGTATATGAGGTTATTTTTCTAATAAGAGTTGTAAAGCATTAGCTATCGGCGCATATTTTCAAACTAAGAACACATTGGTGTATTTAAGTTTTTGGTTTAAAAATGTCTCAATAATCACTTTCCTTTTTCCAAAAAAATGTCAGACCTGTGAGTCCAGTTTTGCCACGAAGGATCGTTTGCGTGCGCACATGATTCGCCACGAGGAGAAGGTCCCCTGCCACATCTGTGGGAAGCTGCTGTCCGCTGCATACATCACAGATCACATGAGGGTGCACAACCAGTCCCAGCATCACGCTTGCCACCTCTGTAACCGCAGTAAGTTTGTACAAAAGAGTCTAACATCGTTATATTTCATATTTAATGTTAACATGACTACACATGATAAATCCAAAGATGTTATCCTGAACTCTGTGGAGCATTAAAACAAATTCTCTATGGTTTTCTGCTCTACATTATTTAAATTTCCAGCCGCAGCATGTAGCTGTTCTCGCTTTGATAAACACACTGCATGCTATCTTCCCAGCACTACGCACGCAGACACATTTAGAAACTAGCTGCTGAATATAGTGGAGCACTCGGCAGCTGAAGAACGAAATATTTCCCTCAGGAGTTGGTAGAAGACAAAGGGTGAAAGGGCCTTAATGATATTAAACTTTCTTATTAACTTTTTCCTTCCGCCTCCGCTCTCCTCCATCAGGCTTCACCACGCTGACCTACCTTCGTGTCCACGCCCAGAAGCACCACGGCCAGGAGTGGAAGGACAGTCCGGGGGGCTTCGGCGGCTCGGCTTCCGGCGGCATTCTGGTCTGCCACTTGTGCGGCATCCACTGCAAGACGCCCACCCAGCTCCAGGGGCACATGGGCACCCATGGCAACAACCAGGGTGTCCCGAGCCCCATCACCTCCAATGTGGCTGCCAGCAGCTCCGTCTCCCTTAGCAACATGGTGACGGCGCCAACTGTTTATGTCACGGGCAACACGGTGGTGGACCTGCTTGTCACAGACTGCTCGAGCATCGCAGCGCCACAGTCCCACAGTTAGCAGCAATAATGACCTCAAACCTTTAACAGAGGGCAGGGTTAGAAAAGGTCAAAGTTACAGGTAGATGTTTGTAATGTCCCCACTTATAGGTAAGGATTAAAAGGTGGGGGGGATTAAGTCCAGTCAAGGGCAGTATCACCTCAGAGCTGCAGAGCATCGGTGGAAAGTGGACGGTATTAATAGCTATGAACTCACGAAAAGATATACCTTTGTGGCCGTAGCAAGGTTCATTGACACTAACGACAAACATGGATGTGCAGTGTTTCCCCTAGGTTGACTGCTTTGGGCGGGGTGCTGTCTGAGCGTGGGGGGGATTTTTTAAATCCTCTGGAGCAGAGAGAGGAGCTGTGGATTATTGTTATTGATTAATGCATCAGTGTTTCTTCGGGTCAAAAACACTAAACTCACAACTTAAAATGAAACTGTTCAGTTTATTTAATAAAAGAGCACATGTTCAATTTGAAAAGTGGCAGTAGATATAGATTAGTTGCAATTTGGTGCTATATATATACAATTTAAATATATATTTAAAAAATATATATATAAAAAAATATATATATATAATTATTATTTTTTTAAATACCTTGAATTTCAGGGGGGGCGTGGGGCTCCGTTGGCGGGGCGCAGCGCCCCTCCAAGACAATGGTAGGGGAAACACTGATGTGTTGTCCAAATATTCCTGGGTGCTCTTGTGCTTTTGAGACTCCAATGAAACTGTGGTATTGTGAGCATCTACTGTATTACTCTCTCCTCTCTGCCCCCCCTCTCTCTTTGTCCCCTTTCCCTAAACCCTGGCATTGGCTGCTCTCTATAAGTGCACCAAGTACTGTATATCTCACACCAGCTCTGATTTTACCTCCATTTTGCAGCTCACTTACTAAGAATCCAAATGGCTTATGTTAAGAAGTAGTATGGAGAAAATAGCTCTCGTAACAAACAAACCAGTAGAAAGGAAAGTTGTGTGCGTGTGTAAGTCAGGGTTCGCCTAGCATGTTAGCTTGTTTGTTCACAAAAACAAAAAAAATCAACATTTGATTTTGCAAAGCTGCAATGGCAGATTATTAAGTCTCTCGAGGGCTGTTTGATCAGGACAGGAGGCCATACGTGTTGCGGTGGGTATGGAATCGTGGGATGTACTTGTTCATTTGTTTCTTAAAGGTACAGAGATAGGAATAGGGTTTGCGTTCAGGAGTGTCAAGCACCTTAAATCGTTATTGTTTGATTCAGCGAGGATCAAAATGGGTTTGAGATTTCTTGGATTTTTCTTGCTCTTGAGTCTTCCTCTCTCGGTCTGGCCATTTAAAAAAAAATTAAAAAAAGACAAAAAAAGAAACATAAATGCTAACCAACACTTCAGCTTCTGACATGGCAATTCTTGCACCAGAAAACTACCTTTTGCATGAGAATAAGCTAGCTCAGTCATGCTAATTATTAGGGAGCTGTCATGACAAAATAAACAGTTTTGCAGTTCCACCTAGTTGGCTGTAAAACAATAATATTTATAAAAGTGTTGATTTTTATTCAGAACATTTTAACATTGTCGGCCATTCATTTGATTGTAACTGTTATTGCCATAGTCCGTCTTTGTTTTCTCTATGTATCAGTCCAATGAGTGAAACTTATGCATTAGATTTAGTCATTTAACTCTGTATAGCACATAACGCTCTGAACGCAAGTCATTCGTTCTACATTAATCACGTAAAGAATGGTAATTTGTCCCGTTGGATATCTTTGGTTGCTTTGAGTTGTATTGTGAGTGACGTGATGTTGAGGAAAGGGCTTATAAAGTCAGAAGTACAACGCGAGTTCGATAACACCACTTGGTATGCTGTAAACATTTCCTGGTTTTGTACTGGAGTGCTTTCTCAGTTTTGTGTTATGTTACCTTGAAATTCGTTGAGTTGTTTCTTTCTTCCTTTTCGTTTTGTTTTGGAAATGTGTTCTTCCTGTTGAGAAAAAGTAGTGATTGATTAAAAAGTTAATTTTAGATTTTTCTCCATAACACTAAGAAAAAATAATACCTCTACCCTAGGATTCTGTACAGCTATTGTTATACATCTTAATGCCTTATCGTACTCAACTGCATTTTAATTATTTTATGATGAAATATTTCAAATCTTAGTCATGAATTCATTAAGAATATTAATGGGATGTATTTATATTTATATTTTTATATTTCTCAACAGTATGCATGTCTAAAAGGTTGTTAGAGCAAAAAAAACGACGATGCTTAATACAGTCATAGATATTATGTTATTTTGTAGATGAAGTAGAGACCATGTTATTATTTTGTTATTTGGACAATTTAAAGTAAAAAGAGTAAACAGGCTTTGTGTTGTGTGTTTGATCTTTTCACCTACTGCTCTGACATGTATATCTGAAGCGTCATCCGTAACACACAGAACACATGCTTTATATATAACATTAGAATATTGACTGTTTCAGTGGAAATGTTTCCTATTGTTAACTTCCAAAATGTGGAAAATGTGACTTCACGTAAACATAACTCAACAGAATGTTTCCCAGCAATACAAACAAAAGTTTATATTAACTGGAAGGTGTCTGCCTCTCCTTATCATCATCATCATCATCATCATCATCATCTCCTGCACACCATTAACGTGTGATAAATGCACTCAATATTTTCCGTCAAGAAATTCCTGACAAAGGTAGGTTGACTGTTACATGGCTATTCAATTAGTTGACAGAATACAGGATGTGATTTTTTAACTTGTTGTTTTTAATCTGTTTCGTTACAAAGTGTGACTCAGCAATACTGTATAGAGAAGCTGACACGAATAAGGTCCAAAATATCTAATGGAATCAACTTAAACAATTACGTTATAAAGCTGGGATCTTTCTTAGCTACTAAATCTGAAACTAAATGTGTATGGTTGTTTTATTTAAGGCAAGTGTTTCATCAATTTTACACTTGAGACAAGACTGCTCCTATTCTGTATGTCTTGTGACTAAACCTGTAACATTGTACTCAATTTGTCTTACAGGCTTCTGGTTTGACTTTTAGATGACATCTTTAAAGTTTGAACATTTCGTACGATCTCTAAAATGTTCATTAACATTTCTAGCCTGTCAGGCCCAGTGGTGGAAAAGGTTGAAGGTCAAATGTTTTGCAAACTTGGTCTTTCTTTTTAAAGTTCTCCTTCTGCATACTTGCTATCAAAAATATTTTCCTGGGTTTTGATTCTTAATTTATGATTTTATGCTTTGAAATGTTGGCATATATTCATATCTTTGTGCTTCTTTCACCTGAACATACATGTGTGTGGCATATACAGTATGTGCTCTCCTTGCATACACTAAGGAAACTAATACTTATGGACAGCATGTGTTGCAAGGTTTGCATCCCTACAAAATGTCAGGTGTATGAGCCTACAAACATACTGAGACAAGAATCAATGGATAACTAAAAAGGCACAGGGGCCCAGCCAGGACAATCTCTAAAATAACCACAAAAAACATTAAACAACCACCAAAAGGCTTCAAAAAGACCACAACCCCTACAAAGAGATGCAAAACAGCTACAAAGAGACCACAGAAAGCCCCCTATGAAAAGGGGTAAACAACAACTGAGAGACGCAACATTGCTACACAAGCATAAAAATAATAGCTATTAAAGAGAAACAACACACCCACAAAGACACACAAAACCACAGAGATGAGCAGTGACAACAAAGACACAAAACAATGACAAAAAGAGGCTAAACCACTCTGTGTTTTAATCCTATTAAAGGTGGTATGGGCCATTGTCTCATAATGCAGATAAGCACTTATAATTGATCAGTGTATTTGCAAATGCTGGTTTATTCAAAGGTCAAATGACTATCCTGTCAAATACATAGTAAGCACACTATGTGGCAATCTTTAATTATTTTAAACATATTTTCACTGGTTTTAAGAATTAAATGCATCCAGGCCAGTCCTTTTATGTGAATGAAATCTCCCAGTGGACAGATTGGATATTGTAAACCATGAATGCAGCTTGAATGTATGCACTCTTTATGGCAAATCCATTTGCCAGCATATAAAACGACAAAAAAAACATTTACAGAAAGTCAGTGCAGTGACTGGTGCAAAAATGTTCTCGTCATGACATGAGCTGTTGCCTGGACCTGTAGGAAGTAGCTGGCGCAGCAGCCCATAGCGTTGAGTCAACGTTGCATCTGCGAGACATACAGCAGCTTCTCTGGTCTGCTGCTCCGAGACAGATGAGATGACATAGCGGATGGACGAGCTAACAGCACCCTAACACCCGGATCAGATTGTGTCATTGTCTTATTTTTCGTCGGATTGCCGTTTTTCAAAAGCTATTTGCGAAAGCTTGCCAGACGCAGGCCAATCTTCAATGCTCCTAAAGAGCAGCCCGCACATAGATGTCGATCTAACTTGCTGCAAGCTATCGTTAGCTCGCTGCTGCTATCCTCCAGACATTGAAGTGGCCACACAAACATGCGGATCATCGAGGCGGAGACCCCTGGGACATCTCTAACGTTTAACGCTTTCTGCTGGACACGAGTTTCAACCAGCCGCTGACTGGACTCTGCAAAGTATTTGTGTAAATGCAGCTTTAATATATTTCCATTTATTCTAAAACATGTGTAAACTCCAATCTGCCAGCCACCGTTAGCATCCACGGTGTCGGTTAGCTACTGCTAACTGGCTACAAACAAATAACAAGCTGACAAAATAGTTAACGTTACTGTGGGTGTGCGACATAACATGTCAAATTGGGCATTCAATTATCAAGTATATTTCATTAGTGTTATCAACTTGCTAAATATATTTTTATGAATTTAGTCAAAGGGGAATGGTAGACAGCGGTGACAACCTCAGCCATATTTAGGGAGATGCTAGCCTGAGCTAACGGTTCCTAGCGTCATTGTTAGCAGGCGGTTCAACAGCTCAGACAGTTGGCCATGCTCATCACAGCGAAGGATGACATTCATTGTGAGCCATATCGTCTCTGTTCACTACATCTGCATGCATGCATTCAGGCTGACCCGGTTACTCATGCTAACAAGTTGAAAACCAAATAACAACACTGCGTTACTATTTGGTTTCCATGTTATCTCAACAAGCCGGTGTTTTTTATGTAAAGCATTCAGTATAGCGTTTGCCAAGTTAGCCCTTATTCAGTGAGTTACCAACAAAATGCAACGTGTGTTCTTGGACTTAACATTGTATAATGTTGGCTAGGTTTAGCGAGTAATTGTTATAAATGGTTAGCCATTTGACTGAAGAGCAACAATAACGGTTACATGTCACCCTGCAGTCGGTGTCAAATGCCCTACGTGTTTAGCTGAGATAACTGTCAGAGCTTTGCTTGTAGTTCGTTTTTCACAAAGGTCACATTAGCTTACGTTGTTGCCCGGAACTAAGAGCACCGACTTCCCATGCTTACGTTGATATTTTTCGACTTTTAGCCATATTAAAACAAACGCATTGCGTATTTTGCTAATGGATTTCAACTTTTTAAGGACTCAGCTAATTGACTTTACGCAAACAAACTGTAAGACCGGTTGTCCTGGAGGAAAATATATTGGCGAATAGTGTGATCAGATGGATAGAGCAGCATGTGGCACTAAAGGGCCTACCAGCTGATATTCTGCAACTGTACTCGGCATTTATAAATCCGTCCTCTGGACACCTTACATTAATTATTAACCTATCTTCCACATTGTCTCTGAGCTCTCTTTGACACCCCATCTGTTAACCCCACTTCCTCTTTATTTTGCATATAGCAAGACAAGAAAAGCTAGAACCATACATTGACACATATGTTGGACTTTGATAGTGCGCTTTTGTCTATTTCAGTAAGTACAGCCAAATGTAAACAAGAGGAGTAGCCACCCGTCAGATCAATATGGACTGTTTATTCACTGTCTGATCATGTGTGTGTTTCAGAGAGGGGAAAGAGCGACGGATCTCAAAGACCAGACTACCCCAAAACTCTTTGCCTCTCAGACAGATCACCAGGGACCATGCTGACCATTCTAGCTGCTGGGTCTATGTTCTTTCCAGGCCTTTTCCTACTTTCAAAACAATGTCTAAAGTCAATCCCAGCACTGAGATGGAGCGAAGGAGATGCAGTCATTGTCTCTGCCAGGTGAGACTTCCTTAAACTTGTTTTTTTTTTACACAATGGGCCCCTCAAAACTTCACTGCAGTGCCATACCAATAGTTTAAAGTTCATGTGCAGTTTTGTTTATTGCAAGACTCGAGTGTGTTTTTGCAGCTGCACTCGTATGTCAAGACAATTTAGCGGCACATTTTTGCATAAAAGCAAGCTCTACTTTCTGACCATAACTAGACAGTCTAAATCCTTAGCTAATGAACATTATATTATTCGTTTTTAACTTACCATTCTTTGCTCTCAGGTTGGTTTCGTCGGTTCAGGCAGTCATGGCCTCTTCAGCTGGCTACATCATTGCTTCTTCCTGCGAGGACATTCTCGAGGACCAGTAAGTGGAGAAATGCTCATGACAATATATTCCACCCCTCTCAACCAGTCTGTCCTGTCTTTTTAATGCATATAACAAATCAGCTGTCGGAAAGGTCTATTTCAAAGGCTTTAAAATGTGCCATGCAAGGCATTTGGGTCGTATATCAGCTATGAATGTAAACCAAACATTTAACTTGATGTTGAAGCCTTGACACGAAGCAGTAAATGTCACGTTGTGTGTAAAGGTGAAGTCGCCGTTTTATGAGCTTTTTATTTTCTCATTAAAACCGCTACACTTGAGGGGAATCTTTCCCTGAACTGTTTAATTCATATATTTTCCTTTCTGTTTTAAAACTCGCCTTCTCTCCCTCTCTGCACAGGCATTGGCTGACCAGCTCTTACATCATGTTCGCTGTTCCTTACTTCGTGTTCGACGTCTACGCCATGTTCATGTGCTACTGGTACAAGCTGCGAGTCAAAGGGCACGAGGAGGCCTCGGCAGCGCCCCAGCACATGAGCACAGCCCTGACCAGCTATTTGCGTCGCGAGTTCCTCATGGTGCTGCACCACGTTGTCATGGTCACCGTCTGCTTCCCCGTCTCTGTGGTAACTGTCACACGTTGCTCTTTCTGTTGGCCTGAGATTTGAGTGAGGAAAGGGAGAAATGGACTATTGAATTATCGGTAACTTCAATAGTACTTCTCTCAGGTATCTTTTTCAGATTTTTAGGGTAGACTGTTAAATGTTTTCTATGTTGAGACAAACGGAAAGAGGCCTTTTGTAGAAGATGGTGCTAATTGCCTTAGCATTATTACTGAGGCCTGCAGCCGACTGCTATTTTTATTATTGGTTTATCTACCGAATCGTTTATTAGTGGTCTCAATTAGTGGTGTGGTGTATAACACTTCAGAAGGCCTAAAGATGTTGAGTTATGTATACTGTTGAGGCCATGAAAAGAAAAAGAAAAACCCCCTTTTGGGAAAATAAAACCAAATAATCTGTCATTTCTTTGCTATAGAAACGATGAATCGATCTACCAGTGCAGCTCTAAATCGTAAGATTAGTAGTATCACTAGTAGAGACATTAAGAAGCCACCTCTGATTATTGAAAAGTACAAATGACATAGAATTGTTTTTGTTTTACTTGTTACTTCAATCTAGATGTCTCTTTACAAAGTGGTATTTATTGCAAATCCAACGAAGGAACAACGCTGTATTTTCATTCTAGACAAATAATCATCCTCCTTCTCTTTCTGTAGTTCTGGAGACAAGGAAAGGGAGATTATTTCCAGGGTATTCTGTTCATGGCTGAGCTCAGCACTCCCTCTGTCTGCTTAGGAAAAATACTCATCCAGGTAAGCATCCGGGTTCGTACTAAAAGAAGATATTGGTGTACTGTTGCATGCGCATGTGTCACACTAAAGTTCTTCTTCACTCTCCATGTCTTTTTATCTGCTTTTCATTAAATGGAGAATATATTTCCATTCATCCCCATCGGTGCTTGTTGGCTGTGTCTTACGGCCCGTCTACACGACAGGCATCAAAAAATCTTGAAGCTCGGCGTGTCTGAAGCTTGGCGATTTTTTGCGACCAACAACCAATCCCATGAATCTCCGCCCCCGACATACAAAGCAATAGCAATGTTAAAACGAAGTAAACTGGATATAAACTCTCCAAACAGGCAAAAAACCTACCAGTTTCACCCACTGTCTCTGCCACCTCCCTCCATGCCTGGTTCCTCCGGTTTGTATCCCGGTAAATAGTTCTGGTCGTAAAGAACCGGGTGATTTGCTACCATAATTTCTCGTTTGGAATATGAGGAAATGAACTGCGGTCTGGCTCTCCCAGCTTGCAC